TAAGTTATTTAAGTTTAGGTCAATTGGTTTTTAGGGCAATTTGCCAGTTCCCCAGAAAACCAAATAAAAATATTTTAAATACAAAAATAGAGCATACTTTGTTTTATAAATACTATTACAGTTTGGTATACAGTGACAATAATAAATAAAATAATTTAAATTCAGTCTTGGTTAAGTTAGGTAAGGTTTTGGTTCATTATATTTTTTAATAAAGTCTTAGTAATAAATATTATACATTTAAAACTTCATTTAACATTAAAATGTACCTAAAATTAAAACATATAAAACATCTGAATAATTTATTTTAATATAATATATTATCAGAAGCAAAAATATAAGCTAGATTAAATGAGACTAAAAAATGCTTTCAATAGTTGTCGATCCAATGTTTATATAAATAAAAAACTCAATAATTATATTAAATAAAAACTTTAAGATTACAGTTGTAATCATTAAATAAGCATTATTATTTTAAATCATTTTATTTATATGTAATATATATTACACTATAAATTATTAATATTATATTTTCAAATTATTCCTGGTTATTTAGTATTTATTACAGGAATTCCGCCTCCACTTTGACCGCCAACCCCTGGTTGTTGACCACCATTTGGACGTCTACTGCCGGTGCCACCAAATCCCTGTCCATTAGCTCCACGTCCGGCACCGAACCGACCCCCGCGTCCACCCCCACCACGACTACCATCGCTCCCCTCCTCACATCCATTTCCCGGTTGGCATTCACTCAATACTATAAATATAATAATTATAATTATAATTATATTTTTTTATAAATTTTATAAATAATGAATGGCATACCTATGAATCCAATAAACACCATGATCATTGTAATATTCAACATTTTTAGCAATTTTCAATTATTTTTCAATATTACTTTTTGAAGTAATTTAATTTGATATGGTGCTTAAAACCACTGCTATTTATACAAAATTTTAATAAAATAATTTAATTGGTATAGGTAATAAATAAATATTTCCACTTAAATTATGTGTCATAAAAATTATTAACAATTTATAGTATTTCATAAAAAAGGTGCAAACAATTACTCGTAAACCGTGTGTAAATATAACAATTAATCAATTGTTATAATTGTTAAATATTTATTATTAATGTAACATGTAAGTTATATTAGTTAAGGTATATTATATTAGATTAATATATCATATTATTTGTTAAATAATTAATTTTATTATTATTATTTAATTGTTTAATACCGGTATTAGTAATAGAAAATTAAAACCGCTTGCTGAAAATATTTTAATATTAATACCTCCAATAGAACATTTTAAAAAATGAATTAGGTAATTTAAAATGCTATCTTTTGCCCACCAAATATATAGACATCAAAAATCTATAATATATTTTAATCAGCTAAATGAATTTATTTACAGTTATATAAATTACAAAAGTATTAATATCAATTATTTAGACTATCAAGTCTTTGTTTTATTATATAGACATTAATATGACCATGATAATATATTTATATGTCATTTAAATTACAATTAATAAATTATTATATAATGAAACATTAATACATTTGAAAAAGCTTTCTAAAAATAGTAATACAACTCCCTCATTCATTATGCCAAAAAAAGTCAACTTGCACAAAATTGACTAGTTTTTGCGTCAAAATATTTTTTCCATACAAATTCTGTAAACATTTATACTGTATATTTATACTTAATAATCCACTTTGTAAATGTATATATGAATCGATGGATTTAATAACGGGTTTCTTGGTGATGAATATACATGCTTATGAACCTTATGTCACCTAGCATGCATTCATTTGATTACTAATAATACGTTCAAAGCCATGTATAAATAATGGTCACATCTATGTAAGGTCGGGAAAAGTTGAATATTACAATGATCATGGTGTTTATTGGATTCATAGGTATGCCATTCATTATTTATAAAATT